ATGTCGTTATTATCCTCCCATCTCCAACAGTAGCTGTTCTGGTCATTGAGAGCTCCTGAAGCCTATTCTTATGTGGTCTCATAATCCATTGTCTCAGACTGAAGGTCAGACTGCTGGTATTTATGAAATGTAATGTGCTTACTCAAGCATACATGGCTGAAAAAGACCACTTTGTGGTGTTTGCTACCTCTCCAGAGTGAAGCTATAGCAAGGTTGTTTTCAGTCCCAAGGGGCTATGAGCAGTCAAATGTGTCTGACTACAACTACTTTATGCTATTCATGAAGCAGTGCAGAGCTCTTATGTCTGATGTGCACCTTGTGAGGATGTTTTGCAGCACCAAGAATCGTGCCTTGCATGTACTCTGCCCAAGCCAGGCACCTGGTGAATCAGCTGTCGTATTAACCCAAATTTCTTACAGAGATGGAAGTGTCTTTCAAAATCTTTGGAAAAAAAGGCTCTACCTATATAAATGAAGTATCTGAGCAGAATTCCTTCTAGAAGCTTTGAAAGATCTTCCTCTTGCCACTGGTTATACAGGAAATTAAGGCACAATTTGGAAGAACTGCCCATCTCCTTTATATTAGCATTTAGTCTTCCTAACTTGTCCCTGTCTGAGAACTAGAAGTGGTTTACCTTTTCAAACACAAGGTGAGATTCATTTTAGGCAACTTCAGGTATTTATAACATTCATATCTAAATCTGAAATATTTGTCTAGAACATCTCCTTGGCCATAGTCAGTAGATAAATAGGTATTTCCTCAGTTAATTTCTTCTTCTTCATACCAAATATTGCTTAATTGAGATACACCTTATGATGGAGATATTCAGAGTCAGGTGAAATGCTTCTTTCAGGAGGCTGTGGTGGTGGAATGGTTGGATTTGATCAATAAGCATGCTGAACACCACTTTCTGTGTACCCAGAGACACTGCAACCCCAGGCCCCACCAGCCGTGAGGCTCACTTTTGCCTCTGAAGCCAGTGTTTACCCTGACATGGCTCTCTTCACCATCTGTTCCATTAATTCATCTACTTCCAATCTGTACTGTAAGGCCCTATTATCTACTGTATTTTGAAAGTAACACTGGAATAAACAAGAAGAAACTTGCTTGAATGTGCAGGACCAGCATTCCCTTCTTCCAGTGTTGTTCGTATCATCTGAAGTTGTGTATTCTCAGAGCAAAGTCTGTCCCACAACATTTTAAGAAGGGATTACGCCAAGCATAAAGCTGTTGTGCACGTATCTTCCCAGTTTCAAAACCATAGCTGCAGTGCTTGAGGAGCAAACCAGACACCCTTGATGAAGGTGTGATTAAACACTCACACTATTACCCTGATTAATATGCAAATAAGCAATACTAAACTGTTTATGGGATTCAAACTTTAATCACTGACCCACTTCAACAAATGAGGAATGCAATTATGCTCCATGTAAGGACACTGGATACATCTTTTGCCACTCATTTGAAGTCTCTCAAATGTAATGTTTTATGCTCAGAATATAGATGAGTTTCTTTTTGTCTGTAAGATTGAGGACAATTAGTTTTATTGTTTTATTCAGATACTTCCTTTCTTTATTAAATATACATTTGAAATATGAGGAAAAAAACCCTGCATAGTTAATCTGTTTGAATACGTTTCAACAACAAAAGAAAAATAAAATGCTGGTCCTGTAGTCTGACTGCTACAGCGCGATCCAGTAGCACCACCTGCTGTTGTAGGGAGCACTGCTGTTTTATAGGTAAGCAACGTACACTATTTTATATATGGATCTCAGGAAATAATATAGCACCTTCAAGAGTTCCCAAGATTAGTGAAATAAAATTGTGTGCAAAGGCTGTACAGCTTTATGGTTAGGAAACACTGAAAACAACACGTACATGTAGCATCTAATTCACAGATTCACAGAGTTGCCTAGATTGGAAAAGACCTTTAAGATCATCAAGTCTAATCATTAACCTAACACTGACAAGTCCCCAACTAAACCATGTCCCTAAGCACCATGTCTAGACAACTCTTAAATACCTCTAGGGATGGAGGCTCCAGCACTGCCCTAGGAAACCCGTTTCAGTGCCTGAGAAGCCTTTTTAGTAAAGAAATTCTTCCTAATATCCAATCTAAATTTCTCTTGGTACAACTTGAGGCCATTTCCTGTCGTCCTGTTGCTTGTTACTTGGGAGAAGAGACCAACACCCACCTCCCTACACCCTCCTTTCAGGTGGTCGTAGAGAGCAATAAGATCTCCCCTCAGCCTTGTTTTCTCCAGACTAAACAATCACAGTTCCCTCAGCCATTTCTCATAAGACTTGTTCTCCAGGACCACCACCAGCTTCATTGCCCCTCTTCGGACACACTCCAGCAACTCAATGTCCTCCCCTAATGAGGGGCCCAAAACTGAACACAGTACTTGAGGTGCAGCCTCACAAGTGTTGAGTACAGTGGGACGATCACTTCCCTGGTCTTACTGGCCACATTATTCCTGATACAGGCCAGGATGCCGTTTGCCTTCTTGGCCACCTGGGCACACACATTGTGCGTGGCAATTTCCAACATGGTGTTTTTCCTTCCTCATAATGATTTGCCCGAGCAATTCAGTGTTAGTATACTATTGAAGCAAAGGACCTACCTGTACTTTCCTGTAAGCAACAATAGCCAGCCATAATAGTAAATATTTTAAAATTAATACAAAAGGTGTCTGCCCAAAATATTTTATTGGATTAAATTTGCAACAGTCTTCTACAAAACACAGCATAGATTCTAGTCTACCTTCAAACCGCTTTGTGGAGCTTCAGCCTCTTCATTGCTACAGGACTGGTCCTGAGAAAGGCCACATACAAAATAATTTTGGTTTTAGGCAATCTCTGGCTTTTTTTTTTCCAAGTTTGTGATCTGTCCACTGCAGATAACATGAACCTGGATTGGATGGACACACCAAGATGGGATGGACACACTGTGATCTGACACACTGAGAGCAATCACATGTCAAATTTGCTATTAAGGAAAACTGGTAAATTTAAACCTAAAATTGTAAATCTCTACTTGAAAACACCAGGTTAATAAACTGACATATTATTGAACTATTGAATTATTTTCAAGGCCAGGTTGGATGAGGCTTTGAGCAACCTGGTCTAGTGGAAGGTGTCTCTGCTCATGGTAGAGGGTTGGAACTAGATGATCTTTAAGGTCCCTTCCAACCTTAACCATTCTATGATTCTATCAAAATCTGCTGTTAAACACCTTTGCTTAACAGCTGCAATACTCTGCTTGGTAAGAGAACAGAGGTTACTTTAGGCAGCAGTTAGGTAATAGGCTCAGGTGAAAAGAGCTAATTGTAGGTCTTAATAATGACCTATTTGGCACAAAAAGCTGTGTGTATAGAAAGGCAGAGGGCCTGTTATATCAGAAATTTAAAAACCATGTTAAAACGCCCCTATTTTCTTCAGAAATAGAGCTTTCCTGAGGCAAGAGTGTAAGTGTTGTAACTTTTGCCATGTCTGAGCTCTCACTGCCATTCAAGACCTACAGCAGACTTTTACACTTGGAGGTATGTACAGTTCAGAGAGGCTGCCTGGATAATGTTCACAAGAGTGGGCTCTGTACAACAGCAATGTTTATAGAGAATGCAGGACAATCCCTTGTGATTTCAGAGCACCCAAGGCAGAAGAGGCGTGTTCTTTCGTTACAAGGACAGAACTCTGTAATCGGAGGGAAAAAAAAAGTGTGTCAGAGTCCCTGTAAATAATTCATTGTTATAACTTATCTTACATCTTCTTTAGGAATTTTCCCAAGCATATTCTGTGCTTAGAGCCTGAAAGAAGTTAACAAGGACAAAACAGGTCAGTTACAGTGCTTACTGATGCAGACTAACCTCTTATACCACTATGCTTTAGCAGACCAACTTCTAGGCAGCTACTCTGAGTTCCAAAAATTTTCTGAAATTTGACTAGTTTGCAACCTGCTATCCAGTTAGAGTACATCTTTGTAATTAGTGTTGCTTGATCTTCAAGTCCTTATCAAAAGACTCCCAGAACAGTTTAGATGATGTCTGGTACAGAATACAAGCAACAGACCGCCAAGGAACCCATGTGCTCCAGTCCCAGACTGAACTGGTGGTGATGGTAGGGACACACTCTTGAATAAAGGAAAATACATCCAAGTCCCTCAAGTAATCTAACAGTAGTAGAATAGAATAGACTAGACTAGTTCAGCTGTAAAGGACCTACAATGACCATCTAGTCCAACTGTGATGTACAGATGATCTAGTACTAGTTCACTGTACTAGACTGTAAAGTGAACCCTCGACCTAAGGGGTGGCGCACAGACAAAATAAGCAGAAAGTATTTAAGCAAATTACTTCCCCTCAGAATGAATGTCAGTATCTTTCTACTATAGTGGTATCCTGTGCACTAGAAACAGTTAATAAAATTAATACAGGGCAGTGATTTTCTAGTCTTGTAATTCCCTTTCTTGAAGATGAAGTTAAAGAAAAATAATGAACTAGTTTCTGATACTTTCACTAGCAATTTGCTCTCCAACACATTGTTTTCTTAAATGTATTATTAAGGGTATAAGCATTACCCAGCTACAGACTGTAAGAGGACCAATGCTGAGCTTTCCCTTCTACTAACCAGAAAAAATATCACTATTTAAGACGGTTCTTTTCATTTGATCTGACTCATTCAAAAAAAGAGATGGACTTGTTCACTGTAACAATATTCTTAAAGAATTTTTGTTTCTAGAACTAAATGAAAGGAAACACCTTCTACTGCAGAAACAATTTTAATAAGGTCAAAGCGTACAAAAAACTATCAGAACAAATGTTAGACGAATGGAAGATTAAAGAGCTACGTGGCGTCGCTGGACAAGGTATGTTACATACCTTAATACTAATTTGAAAGAGAATTGGGACATTTATTTTTTTAAACAACAGTTTTATAATTGTCCAACCTACATGCTTATTCTGTCCACTCTACTGGTGTCCCGAATGCAGGAGTCACATGTTTCAGAGGAGCCTGCAGCTAGAAAGGTTTAACTTATCTTTATTGATTTATTTCACATACTATTTAACAAAACTTTAACACTTATTTTTTTAAAGCTTACTTGCAAGGCATGTTTTATAGGCAATATTCTACAACCTAGCTTTGGCAGTGGTTGACATAACATTTTAAAGAATATTTGCTATTCACACACATTTGTATTAGACGTTCAAAATACCATAATTGAAACAAAAGTTAATTTGTATAAATGGACAGTCAAAGAGGTTAAAAAGATACTTTAGAACAATCATTGAAAGCCTTTACTGTATCATAGTCACTTCAAGTGTTGTAAAGCAGTTTTCTACAATCTTTAGCTTTTCTTCAGAAAGCAGGTTTTCTTGCTTCAGTTGTCCAATAAGAGCTTCCAAGGACCTGAGTCTCCCCAAAGTTTTTACCTCCTGCATTTCAAGTAGAGTGATCTTAGAGTGGAGCTTTGAAATTTTTTGCCAAAGGTGATCTCTGTCTATGTCTTGTTTGCAGTATGAATGCTCAGTCTGTAATACTTCACTTCCACCATATGCATTCATATACAGAGATTTATCTGCTTCTGTCTCCTCTGTGTCAAGAAACTCTTGTGTAATAGGCAGGAAAGAACTATTAACTATTTCAGATTCTTCTGAACTCTCGGCTGGCACAATGATAGCAATGACAGATTCTTCACTTCCACTGAACTGTTCAATAGTTTGTGTGACTGTACTCAGCAAAACTGCATTTTCATTTGTTGGTTGTACTTCAAAAGAACAGCCTACAACAAGAGAGCTAGGATTTTCAATTGCATAGTCGGTAATTGAACCTAAAGCATTTTTCAGTCTCAGAGATGAATTCAAGTAGTCAGGGTCTGTAAATTGCAAGACTGTAGATGTACAACTTACTGGATCCTCTACAGAAGTATGAACACTGGTAGCTTCCATGCTCTGGACTGCTGCTGCTGTTAAAACAGGATTAGGTTGATACATATGCTGCTTAGATGAATTATCAAGAGTAACACTGTCTGCCTGAAAGTCTTCTCCGTTATGAAGCTGCAGTTTCTGAATTTGTAAAGGTTTACTTAATGCAGTTGAGCAAACTGCTTCTGCTTTTTCACCTACATTTTCGGCAATTACAGGATTTTGCTTTGGTGTACAAGGTTCAAGTGATACAGATGCCTTCTCTGAGTCTACATTTGTATTTGTTTCTTGCAGGTCTTCTCTCTTTATGCCTTGTGAGGTGTTCCGAGAAGAGTCTTTTTCCTGGAGAAAAAAAACCACAAATCCAACTACGTTGTAACTAGGAAATCACTTGAACATAAAAAAAAAAAAAAAGGGGGGGGCGGGGGGAGGGCAAAGCTCATTCTATAGCATAATACTAGGCAACCAGTAATTTTTAAATGGCGCTCATCTAAACTGCAACAGAGACCTGAAAATTCATATAAGTGCCTTCCATAACTTTGCTTCAGGTTCTAAATGTTAAAATATTATTTTAAAGCTCTAAACGCAGTAATTTTTTTTTTTCCAAAGTCTAAGGAATTTTAGCAATTTACACAAGTCATCATAATTTTAAAAGCACTTGAAGAAAGCAAGCACCTTCTAGGACTTCTAGCACTTGAAGTGGCTACATAAATCTGTTTGGGAAAGACTGGCTGGCATCTCCTATAACCATCTGAAACACTGTATCAACTGTATGTGTATTAAATATACACAGTAGAAGATTTTTGCATTAAAGAAGCGACAAAGTTGGTTTAGCTAGTTATGGCAAATTTTTGACATATGCTCCACTCCAAAGAGAATTTAACAACAACAACAACAACAAAGAATACAAACACAGATTTTGAAAGCATGAAGTATTGCCCTTTCTCTGCTCTACCAGCAGCTGAAAAAGGCCTTCTCAGACTAATCTTTTCACTAGACAAATCTCTTACAAAATAAATTAGGGAAATTCCCCCCAAATCCTTGCCTATCAAAATTGCCATTAAGGTTGAAGAGAAGGCACCACAACACCTGTCTGGATAGAGCTGCTTGAAGACCTTTACTTTCACTGAAAAGCTTCCTTGTCCATCTGTCCCTGCCCTTGCACTTTTACGACAGTCTTAAAAATAAAAATCCTTGCAAACTAATACAGAATAGTTACCAATATTGAAACACAGGCAATTAACACTGCTTGTGAGACACAAAAAAATCTTTATTTGGAAGAAGAATTAATGAAATCATTAAGCATTTCTGGGAAGGTATCATTCACTTGCTCCATAATACATACAGCAAGGTGGTGGAGAACAATATACAAATAGTGCAACTCTTCCCTCTCTTTGCTGATCTTAAAAAGTTGTTTTTTTTCTTTACACTATGAAATCACATATTAATTTTCTGTCAGTCCTGTTGATAAAATATTTTGATGGACAGGAATTTTTAAATTTATTTATGGTTTATTTTTAAAATAAAGTGTGAATACAGTACAGATAATTAGCAAATCTGTATCAAATAGTTGGCTTAGCTTTGTACTACAATAAAAAGATAGGAATACATTACCTCATCATCTGGGGAAGAGAAAATTGTTGGTACAGCGGTGTGTTTCAAGTATCGTATACCCCATCGCACATCAAGGGAATCGGGAGTAAAATGATCACTGCACAGAAGCTGGTGCTTACTTGGAGTCCATGCATCTCGTTTCATATTCCGCAACCATTTCTCAAGTCTCTCTTTATCATGAAGTGGAAATCTTTTTTAAAGCAGGTGAAAGAACAAACAAAAACACAAACAAAAAACCTGTTATTTTTCTTTCTTCTTTTTAAATGAAGAATATCTAACTGATCCTTACAAGGTAGTCTTTCCTTAAAAAAAGATTAAAATAATCCTTTTTAAAAACTTTAAATATGAAATGCTAATCAGGATGTCACTTAGTTGTTAATCCAATAATGATCCAAATTATTTATAGTTTTGTATTTGCTCCAGAGTTCAGCAGCAGAATTTCTATTGATTTCTGCTAGCCAAGTGTTTCAGAACCCATGCCCAAAATGTTTTAGAGGCTTGATACTGCAACACTTGCTCAGAAAGGTTTCTGCTGAAGTGTGATGAAATACTCTCTTTTAATTTATAAAAAGGTAGCTCTGATCCTCATTTTAGAAATAGGAGCTTTCTTGTCTTACTAGACACAATATTAACAAAAGCTTTTGTTACTATTGTCTGTTTAACAGAGTATCTCTTAATATATGTCATACTTTGCATTACCTGATAACCTGGAAATGTGAATATTTCTAGTGCACAATTTAAATTTTGTTCAAAAAGTATATACACACAAATGCAAAGCATTTCTGCATTTTGTGTTTCAGCAATTAAGCTTTCTTACAGTGTTGAGAGCCCACATAATATTGTGTACTCCATAACTAACTTTTCAACCATCAACCAATAGTGAAGAGTATAGACTTTCATAGAAAAAAATTAAATCTATTTTGAAAATATATGCAACTGGGCAGACAAATTACATGATAAAGAGAACAAAATTAAAAGAAACCAGGCAAAGATATGTAATTTACTTAATGAATCACGACACACATATTAAACGGAAATGAAAGGCTCATTATGATACATGTACAGTCAAGTAGTTATGGTAATGGCAACATGAAGATTCAGACCACTCTTGGCTCTCATCTCTTATCAGATGGACATCAGGATATTTGTAATGCGCTTACAGATTCCCCTGGTGCATATCAAGTTTCTTTCAACTCTACCATGTAACCACATATGATATATGTAAACCTTAACTTGAACTCTGAGCACTGTTAAATAACTACTGTTAAGAAAGCAATATTCTTTAGAATCATGAGCAATAATAACAATAATTTAAAAAATCTATGTTTTTGTGTATATGAAACTATTAGAGATACATTCATGTGGTCATTAAACCTCATCTGATTGTAACTGTAGGGTGTAAGAAGTATTAGCTGTTGGGATGATGATGGGCAACAGAAACAGCCAGACATGAACAAGCGCCTACAGCCCCTTTACAAGAGCCATTTTGGTTTATTCCCTAAACAGAAATGGAGCATTCCCAACTCCATTTCTCTCCCTTAGCTCTTTTTTCCTTTTAATTAGCAATAGATTATTTTGCTTATGCTTATTACTGTATATATATTTATGGAACTTCAATGCACAAAAAAATTGGTTCTGCAGTGAGGTATTCCCACACAACAGAATTTGGGGAGAGCCTGGAGCACCCGGTGTCACCTGAATGCTCTGAAAGGCACCAGTCAGTCAGGCTCCTTCTTGGCAAACCCTAGATCCTACCCTCAAATCCCTGAAGCTGCAGGTTTCCTCCAAAAGCCATACACAGCAGTGACTCTCTTATGCAGGCCCATAACTGCGTAAGTGCTCCAAAACTGCAACCTGAGCTGATTTTGAGAGAAAGATACCTCAGATTCACAGGATAAATGTGCATGTCTCCACCTCTTCCCAATCTTTTGAATTTGTTGCCATTTAAGCTCTGATTTTACCAGGGAAACAGAACAAGCTTTTGTTGCATCTCACTCTTAGAGTCTGCAGGAACGCAAGGAATAATCCTAGCAAGAACACACTAACCTCTCAAGGACAGGTTAGAGTTTCAGCTTTTTCAAATCCTGCCTACTTAGATCGCGTACAACCAGTTGCAGCATCACATATATTACATGGCATGCCCTGTGAGTAACTGAGCTTAACCTGGGCTGTTACTACATAGGTCCAAAGAAGGCTCTCAGTAAGAGGATGGCTTCTTTCAGTTGAAGGTGACATCATCAATCACACTTTCTCCAAGAAGGGCCACAGAACATTTGCTTCCAGTGCTGTTACTCTTGCAATACAACACACTGCCTTCCCCACAGTCAGCCAGCTTCAGACGGGAAACAAAATAATCTTTAGTGAGAGACAATGTCTGATAGCAAAATTTATTATTTTAGCTTAAGGGCAACTTTACCAAAACCTGCTCCTGCTTCAATACCCCTTTATTCATCAACAGAATCTGTTCTCTGGTGTAAATGAGACACCAAAAAAAAGGAAAATAGAAAGAAAAAGTGGACATAATGTATTCAGGAGCTGCCACCACTGCACAAGTGAGAGGGTTGAAGAAATAATGCAAAGCCAGGCAGCTAAACCAGGTGCGATTAGGTCACAGTTAAAAAGTTCAGAAGGGGCTGAGACCCCAAAACACAGAGCAGCAGACGACTTCTCTGGGGTGGTAAGAGGCAAGGGAATAAAACTTGCAATTCCCATCAGTAGCAGTTGCTCATGTAGGGCAAGAGATCTCTATAAATCACATCTCAGCACCCCTTCTACAGGACCATGATACTCATAATGCAGTACAATTTAATGGCTGGATAAAACAGGTGTTTGCAATCATCTTTACACTGATGGCATACATTTGAATAGAAATATGTATCAGCACTCAAACTTGTTTTGATCATCCATGTGGCACTCATATTTTCTACAGCAATATAAATAATTTATTTCTCCTCATTTTCATGACTGTTTTTATGATGAATCACATAACAAGAGACATGCCAGGAAAGAGAGCTTTCCCTCAATCTAAACTAAAATCCCTTTTCAAAGCAGTCTTCCTGACAGTCTTCCTACACAGACTTCCTGATCTTGAAATAACAATGACTACTCAGCAACTGAAATAAACTGACAACTAAGTTTGAGGTATAAATTTTACCAAAACAGATTTTGAGGTTAGTTGTGAAATTTATTCTTCAATTTTTTTCTTAAGTGCTACAAAATTCCTTCCTTTGACAAATGCTTATCATACTTTTATTCAACAGAAATACATTAATATTTAGTCACTTGCACTGTGCTCCTCTCAGGGTTGTGAAAAACTCTTTTGAACTCACTGTTCGGGGAATCAACAGCCACGTAACCGCAACAGCACAAAGGTTACGGTGGGCCTGGGACGGTGACTAATCCATCAGGTGGCCGGTTAGTCCTATGAAGCCGCCATAAACTGGTTTTTGGCAACCCAGCTAGTCAGCTTCCAGCCAGCTCAGCTGCCTCGAAACAGACCAGCTGCTCGCAGTGTAGGCAAGACAACATCCTAGTGGCAACATTTAATTTTAAATAATCAATGTATGTTTGCTTTCCTACCGTGTTAGGCCCTTCCCTTAGCCTGCAAGCTGCCAGACAGAGGACACTAAGCTCCTTCACCGTTAAGCCAATGCCTGCACTAAGGCCTGCTCTGCCGAAACACCCCGGCCCCAAAGGCACCCGCGCTTGG